ACATGCTCACATAGAAGGTTTTAGTTTACATAGAAACCAAAGTACTTCTTGAGCAAATTTATACATGTGCCGCCGAATATTCCACCCTTATCACTGGTCTTCGAGCAAGCTCTTGAATAATCTCAAGTGTTCACGAGTTGCGTGCGATCTTAACCGAACGATCTACAATAATCATGACCCTTCTAGAACAATGAGGTGCAGTTTGCGCTGAGCATTCCAGGCAGGCTTTGTGGGCAAAAACCGAATGAAATTTAGGTGTAAATAAGAAATGCCCATGACGATATGTATAGTTGCTTTCAAAAATAAATACTGTATATACTCGCGTAATGAATGCACTTTTTTTATTCAAAAATCGTAGCAAAGTTGGGGGTCTGTTTATTATGTGAGGCAAATTTTATGAAAACTTTTTTAGTATGAGCATTAACTGCGGTATTGCGAAAAAAACAACAACAAAAGAAACAGCTAGATCACTTGGCCTTCTGCAATTTACACACATGTAAGCTGTTTGGAAACAGCTTCTTTGCTGCACTTCACTCATCTTTCGTTATCAAAGGCACTATCTTGTGCAAGCTGTCCCTGCACCGCCCATGACTCCATAAAAGTATTTCGCGTTTTTCTTTTCTCCCAATCGTTTAACCACAACAGTGGCGTCTGCTGTGATATGAAGAGGCGCCCAGAAGGGTGCGCTAAGATGCTACAATGCACTTTGCCAACTTCGTGGCAACCTCACACGATGACCTCGATGACCCTGTTGACATTGCACCAAGTTACCACGGAATCATTCAAAACAAACCGTCGCTAAAAAGATTAACGACAAAATACGGCTGCTGTCTTGCTGTTCACATGAGAAGTTACTGTAGAAAAGGTAGCCAAGGGTGAAAGCAGGCTTCAGTATTTTGGTGCAGGTTTGGGAGCAGGAATAATGCGGTTTTAGAGCAACTTTAGAGCATTAAAAGGGAATTTTAGAGCAGCTCTAGAGCAGCAAAAGGTGTGTTTTGGAGCATCAACATTTAGTTTTGGAGCAGATTTCTCGGTCCACACATCATTGTTAATTAGAATTTTCGCTTTTTGGTACACTAAAAACATTTCATTTTTACTAAGCATGCAGTGGTGATCAGGCTACCAGACTTAACCGAAATTCGTATATATTTAACCTTACAGCATAAAAAGTGCAGCAACTTAATGAAGAAACATAAGCGGCATTGTGGGCAGCTATTACACCTAAAATGTGTGGAAAAAATTAATGTTAAGATGTTGCAATCTTCAAAATGTGATTAAAACACTGCATCAAACATGAAAAGCTACCCAAGACTAGAGATGAGCTACTATATAATAAAAGTTATCTCCATACTGAACCTCTACAGAAATAAATGAAGAAACTTAAGTTCCAGGCATTGAAGTGCCATAGCCGACATGAGAACCACGAGGAAATCTAGATACGCTTGTCGGGCCTATACTACGCAATGAAGTGCAACTTTTTTATTACGGTAGAAATTAAATGGACACTCGATGGGCTTTAGCTTTCGCCTCCATGTTCTGCGTAAATTACAAGTTGGTACCATTCCCCGCACATCGTATGTTCGACCCACATGTAAAATTGTGCAAGCTGGGGTGATAAGGGCTACTAAAGCAGAGATTAATTGAGACGGCCAACCTGCGTTGCTCTGAGGGCGCACGTGTTAACATCCCACTTCGTGTTGGAATTGCCGTCGAATGTTTAAGCAGAGAGGACACACGCCGCCCGTTTTAAAGAGCATGAAAAGACGTGATGGAAAGGGGAGTCGCTGGAGCAGTGGCTGTGAATTTTATTCTAATCAAGGGCGTGGTTGCCATAGCTAGCGCGTGCAATATCAGCAAGCATCAGCGCATGGCTTATAAACCGTTCTACGTGGTGCGCTCTCAATGGGAAGAGATTGTGCGATAAGAGCACTTCTCCCAGGAGCAGACGTACTTATTCTCTTACACCAGCGTTTTGTAGTTGTGAGTGTCGCGATGTCGGATCCAAAAGAGTTCGCTGTTAGCCTTCGTTTGTCACGGGGCCGTGAAGTCAACGAAAGTAGCAGTCGCCGTTTTCATGAGTGCACTTTTTATTTGGGCTAACCTGTGCCCAGAAAATGAAACGTCACTCTACAAGCAATACACGCGGTAGACTAATAACATCTAGTGAACATAGAGCATCGGCGATCGATAATTTGCCACGCACCAAAGCGTGGCGGCATTTATACACGTGCCATCGAAGATTACAGCGTTATCGCTAGCAATCGCGTAAGTTCCAGAACAAACTGTAATGTACGCATTGTGTGCGTAATCTCATCGTAAGGTTCTAGGATTATCTAGATATTCCCTAGTCATTTGGGTGCGGTTTGCGGAAGGCAGCATTACATGTGTAATGGTGCGGTAACAAAAATATGAAGAAAGGAGTGCGTGCAGCATCACCATTACAACATTACAAATTGCTGCTATAGCAGTCATCGCTTCACTAGTGACACTAATTTTTTTTTACAGTTCATGTGGCAAAAAATTGTCACACCGTTGCCGAGCACGCGCTCAACGATTGCTCAGCAACAGTGCAGCGGCTCTTTTTTGAAACAGTACTGCCGTCTTCATAGTTTGCCTAACAGCTTTGCTGGTAAACCATATATAGTCGTATAATGAGGCATGCACACAAATGCCACCTTAACAATAATCATGCATTGTGTTCATGTGGCGCAAGGTTCATGCATGATCCGAGATACGGTGTTTGATATGGACGCGGTTGCATGCTTTGTGTAGCCCACGCGTGTTGCTCGGTCGATGATAAAACTTTTCTGGTTTTCTGCAATGCTACGGCGACGAATGGCTTTTCGCGACAGACATGATGACAGGAAACCGTGTCGTCATCACTCGAAAGTCGCGGGTGTGTGCGTGGGCCTTAAAGTTTCGTATTTGCTGAAAGCGACCGTCGGTTGGAGCGGGCAGTTTCGTGACCTTCGCTCGCTGTGTGCTTATCAGCTGCAATGTCTCTAGACTCGCACCGTTGGTGAACCCCACTGTGGTGCACAGATAATAAAAAAAGACAGGGAATGTGCTGCGCGCAGATAGAAAGAATACGGCGCGTGGCAGTGGGAAAAGGAGGGGGGGAGGGAGCGAGCAAAGTGGCCAAACGGGTCGGCATAATAATAAAAAACAAAAGAGATCCAAGAGACAACGAGGTGGCAGCTGTCAGTTAGCGGGACTGCAGTGGACGAATGTAGGGTGTGTGTTTATTACGCGGGAGATTTGAAAAATCCGGTTTTTTGCGGCTGAAGTTGGGGGGTGCGTTTATTATGCGAGTGCATTCTTTAAACGAGTAAAATGCGGTAGTTAAGAGTTAGCACTTATCTGTCTCTTTCTCGTCCCTGCATTCTGTGCACACCCACAAAAAAAAGTCAAAAATACGGGCACGCACACCTATGCAGCTTCACACTTTGTTGATGCTGCTGCTGGTGATTTGACTGCACCTGAGTGCTTTGTAATGAGTGGGCCTTTAGACCACCAACCAGTTGCGTAATTCACATGGTGTGATGACTGGTGTGACATTACGCTTTTGCCATGCAATGTTACATTATTTAGTGCAACTCTTCTCGCTATGCATGTACTACAACAGTTAAACCCACTTATAGCGATACTCAAGCAGTATGAAAATTTCTTTGTTATAACTGATAATTGCTTAAATAGGTAGCGTAAGAAAAGGCAGGCTATTGTGAGAAAACCATATATCAGATGAGATATGCCAACAGACATAAGGATGACAAAGGTGCCGATTTTTCGAACATGCTTGAAAATTTGGGCGCTTTCAAGGAACTGCCACAAGCCACACAGAGCCAATGTATGACAACATCTGAAGCTTGAACAACTGAAACTCTTCCAAATTGCACATACGAAAGTGTATTCATAGAAGCCATCATCGCTTCCGCAACGTAGTGCCATTTGTAAGTTAGGTTTGCTGCAGTTCTACAGCACTATACGAATAAGTGTACCACAAATCCAAAGGGGTGCTGGGGGACGGGGTTGTGGGCAGCAGTTCAGTAGGTTAAATTTCTCGTTTTTTTCGTTATCTTCAAGTGTTTCGGGCTTCATTACCTCTTATCGTGGACTCCCAGCAGCCCGAATTCATTTTATAACTGCTAATGAGGTATGTGGCCACTGCTATAAGCGGGTTATCATACCACAGAAAACATACAAAAGTTGACGTTGCAGCACTTGCTCATTGTTATAACCAATACATTGTCTAAGTCAGTATCATTATAAATGGGTTCAACTGTATAAGTTTCCTTAGAAAAAAAGTTACAAGCACTGACAGGTCTCTGTGGTAAGAAACCTTAAGGCCATGCAGTGTCTCCGTGTGATTCTGGCTTGATTTTTATTATTTGCACCCATCACATACTTTTTTTTGCTCATGAACAACACTGCTGACACCGACATATTTTTATGACATGGGCTCTTTCACACTGTTGCAATAGAAAGAAGTGCTGGCAGTTACAGTGTCATGCCCTCACAAGATAAGCTAAGAAATAAGAGGTGGGAGATGGCAGACTTATGGACAAGAGGGACATGAAAGTTAGGAGAAGGTCTGGAGAAAAAGCAGTGTAAAGAGTGGAGAGCAAGCAGCACTTTGCACTGGCCTCACTCGTGCTCAGGTTCTCCGACTGTGCAAATGCATTCGCAGAGGCATACATCTGTCTACAGCTGCAACTCAATATTGCGGGAATGCTTCCATTGAGGCAGCAAATGGGTGTTTCTGTGAAATCGCTTTTCTTGGTAATCTCGTCGGAGAGTCAGTCGCATTTTATGCACATCCACATAAAAACTGATAGCAAGAGAACACGAGAGAAAGGCAATACTACTGAATATCATAACATTTCTCTAAATATTTAAGAAACAACACATATTTGATCCAGCCTGCCTTAGTACGAAGCCTGCCTTAGTACGAAAGTTGAGGGGATATACTAGTAGTGGGTAATTTACGGCAGAGCACCCACCAATGAGGTTGTTCAATCGGTACTCTTCCCGGAAGAAGGCATCCCGTAGTTCAGACTCCTTGCCCTGCGTCAAGGCAATGGCTTTGACGTCACCGCCTGCGCAGAAGGCCTTGGAGCCAGGTGCTGCTTTGATGATAACCATCTTCATTTCTGGATCTGTGTCCCACTTCTGCATGAGGAAAAAAAAAATGGCCTTGCACGTGTATTCGTGAAAAGCTATGTGTTTCAAATAATGTCTGAACAAGGTGGAGCAGAGTTATCAAAGAAAATTATGACAACAACCCATATAGAATACAAAGCTACACAAAAATGCTCACACATTTCTCAGTAGGAAGAGCTCCTTATTTGATGAGAAATTTGTCCTTATCAAAAGCTCTGAAACTGCGACCAACACCCTTGGGCCAACCAGGAATTTAGCAGATGGCAGAGCAAAGGAAGAGTTGTGTGATTCGTGCATGAACCTTGAATTGAGCCAGAATTTTGTAGCAAAATATTTGGACCAGACATCGTCAAGAATCAAGACAATGGTTCCTCACACACACATGGATACAATGCAAAGATTGAAGAGACAGTGAAGTGCAAAACAAGTGCAAACAAAACAAAACAGTAAAGTACAAGTTCACAATCACGAAAACACCTTTCTTACTGCGACACAACGCTTGGTAAGCGGAAAACGTGCAAAATGAAAATCTGAGTGGAGATGCCACCTTGAGGTGTTTGCACCAAACACGGCGGCATAGTAAATTTTGAAGGCATCTCCTGGGTTCTACATAGCTTCCAATCGATAAAATGAACTACATAATCTTCTGTAGGCGACCTGAAAAATTTCACTGTGCTAATGTCCACTAATAATGAACTCCGCTAAATCTCCGCTAATAGTGAACTTATCACAGTGAATCTTATGGTCTTACAGTTCTACGAGGGCAGTTTATCAATCTAAAACAAGTCACTGTTTCTCTCTACGGTCCCTTCAAAGGCGGAGGGCAGACATAATATATAATAAAATACAGCAATAATGTAATATTGCTACATGCATGTTGACATTTTGTGAGACGAAGTGCGTGTGTGCCTGACGAAGAGGGCGAAGAGTGGTTTCCGCTCGGTGTCTGGTCTACCGGTCACGCCGCTGCTGCTGCAGGTTTGACATATATTTCATCCACAGCCTCGTCGATACGGCGTCTCTCTTCCGTAACATATTTGGTAGAGGTGGAACGTTCCCCGTCCTCACCACGAAGCTTTGCAGTGGCCGCACCGTCCAGCCTCCAGCGATGGCTTCCAATGAGAACAACCCGTCACCACCATCAGCTGGAGCGCCAGCTACTACGTATTTGGCTATGTCCCACCCCAGTGATTCCGGTACGTTCTCCGCCCAGCCTGGCCTTGACGTCGACTACTGGCTCCGCATGTACGAGCGCGTTAGCCTGTCTGACCGATGGGACTCTACCATGATGCTCGCCAACGTAATCTTTTACTTGGATGGTACCTCGCGTGTATGGTTTGACGCTCATGAGGCCGAGCTCACCAGCCGGGACATCTTCAAGGAGCGACTACGCAACATCTTTGGGGACCCCTCCGGTCGACAAATGGCTGCACGACAAGAACTCGCCACCCGAGTACAGTTATCAACCGAGTCGTATGTCTCGTACATACAGGACGTGCTCGCGTTGTGCCGCAAAGTGAACGAGCAAATGACCAAGAGCGACAAGGTGGGCCACATACTCAAGGGCATCGCGGATGATGCTTTCAACTTGCTCGTGTACAACAACGTCACGACCGTCGATATCATAATTAAGGAATGCCACCGCTTCGAAATGGCCAAGAACCGCCGAGTTTGGCCTCAATTTTCGCGGTTCCCTAACACGGCTGTCACGTCAAACTGTACCGATCTCGGTGCCGCACCACCCTTGCACGAGAATGTCACACGCATCTATCGGTGCGAGCTTGAGGCGGCCCGTCCAGCGCCGTTTCATGCACTTCCACTCGACCAGGGCACCGTGCAAACACCTCCGGCGGAGCCAGTTATTCAGGCAGTCGTGCAGCAAGAAATTCCTAACCTTGGTTTTTCTGTCACCTGCTCCGTCTCCTGACCAGACTACAGACCGATGCCAATAAATGGACCACGCCACAACCCATACTCTCTGCCCAGATCTCGCAATCCAACAAAATGGAGAACAGCAAACGACAAGCCAATCTGCTTCCGCTGTCACCGAGTTGGCCATGTCTCCCGCAACTGCCGCAGCACGTGGACACTCCCCCGTTGGAGCCAATTTTCTTCTTCTCCTCGGCCATACGCGGACCCCTGTCGGTATTCGCCCAGCCGTGAGTATCCTGCTTGCCACGCACCTAACAGCCGCTCAACCGCTCGTTCACCGTCACTGCAACGTTGCCGTTCTCTGTCCCCCTAACCCCACCGCTATCCACCGCCGACTAATTATGGATCTTCCCGGATGGAGTAGATTATGCAGCTCCTGGAGGTAGTGCTGCGTCAAGTGCGACTGACCCAAATCCTTCGTTGACTCTACCTACTAATAAGAACTTGCTGGAAGTGCATGTGGACAGTCTTTCTTTGACGACTTTAGTTGACACTCGAGCTCAAATGTCTATAATGAGTGCTCGTCTCTGTCACCGCCTCAAAAAAAGTACTCACGCCTGCCACAACACAAGCCGTCCATGTCGCCGATGGTGGAACTGTGGCCGTCATTGGAATGCGTACCGCTCGTATTAGCCTTGCTGGCCGCCATATTCCTGTTTTATTTACCATGCTCGACAATCGCCCTCATGACCTCATCTTCAGGATGGACTTCTTATCAACGCATACTGCCCTGATCGACTGTTCCGCCGGCACTCTCTGTTCACAACTTCCTCTTCTTCCAGATTTTCACCCCGAGCTGCCGAAAAGCCTCTGTACCCCAGACTTCAGTCGGATACCGCCAAAAGCTCCTAAATTCATTGAATTGGCAACAAGTTCACCCGTTGTTGATGGTGATTATGTCGTCACACCTATTCCAGATATTCTCCTGGCGCGCGACATCACTGTGCCACACTTTGTCGTAACCATGGCCTCTAACCGATCATGTCTGCCCATTATCAATTTCGGTTTCACGCAGCAAGTACTACCACACGGAATTTCAGTCGCCACGCCTCGACCCTTAATAGACACCCATGTCACCGCTTTTGCGGCTAGCGCATGCTCCGATCTTCCATGTCGCCTGCAGGATGCCACATCCCTCAATGCGGCCTTGCGCCCCATGATCGACATGAAACTCAAACCTGAGCAATCCGACGCCCTATTCCGCCTTATTGCTTCCTACCGCGACATATTTGACATCGACAGCAGTCCACTCGGTCAGACTTCCTTCGTGAAGCACCGCATTATTACTGGTGATTCTCTTCCCATTCACCGCCGACCATACTGGGTGTCTGCCACAGAGCATAAGGTAATTCAAGAAGAAGTGAACAAGATGCTAGCCAAAGGAATTATTGAACCCTCCTCGAGCCCTTGGGCATCTCCTGTTGTGCTCGTTAGAAAGAAAGATGACACGTGGCGCTTCTGCGTCGATTACCGCCATCCTGATCAAATCACGAAAAAGGACGTTTATCCTTTGCCCCGAATTGATGACGGCCTTGATTGTCTTCATAGCGCGCGATACTTTTCTTCAAGCGACTTACGTTCTGGCTATTGGCAGATTGCGGTGGACGAGAAAGACCAAGAAAAGACTGCGTTTGTAGTTCCCGATGGCCTATACCAATTTAAGGTGATGCTGTTTGGGCTATGCAGCGCCCCAGCCACGTTTGAGCGTATGATGGACTCGCTATTACAAGGGTTCAAGTGGTCAACATGCCTGTGCTACCTGGATGATGCCCTTGTATATTCGCCTACATTTCAGACACACCTCCAGCAATTGTCAGCGGTTCTCAACATCTTCCGCACTGCTGGCCTTCAACTAAACTCGTCAAAATGTCACTTCGGCCGCCAGCTGATTACGGTGTTGGGCCACCTTGTCGACGCATCAGGTGTGCAGCCTGACCCGGAGAAAATTCATGCCGTCACGAGCTTTCCTGTACCCCAGTCTGTCAAGGACGTCCGGAGCTCTGAGGGACTTAGTTCCCATTTTAGAAGGTTCGTGTGAAAGATTTTGCAACGATCGCTCGACCACTCACCGACCTTCTGAAGAAAGACGTGACTTTTGCGTGGGGTTCTGCCCAAGCTGCCACTTTTTCTCACCTCATCACCCTCCTCACGACTCCACCTATATTGGCACACTTTGACCCGTCCGCTCCGACAGAAGTCCGAACAAATGCGAGTGGTCACGGGATCGGAGCCGTCCAAGCCCAATGCCAGCGGGGACACGACCGAGTTATCGCCTACGCTAGCCGCCTACTCACAGCTGCCGAGCGCAACTATTCAATAACAGAGTGTGAATGTCTTGTTCTTGTTTGAGCAGTCACGAAGTTTTGCCCATATTTATATGGCACGAATTTCTCTGTAACAACGAACCACCAAGCGCTATGTTGGATTTTGTCACTGAAGGATCCTACTGGCCGGCTCGAGAGCTGGGCTCTGCGGCTGCAAGAGTATACCTACACGGTGACGTACAAGTCCAGATGCCTACATGAGTACACAGACTGCCTGTCCCGCTACCCGGTTGTTGAGTCGAGCACTATGCCTGACACCGACACCGAGCCTTGCGTCTTTTCCCTTTCGCAAATGACATGCACCGGTGACGTGCAGCGCAATTATGCGTCTTTGCGGGCTATCATTGAGCGCCTCGAATCACCATCTTCCAATCAGTCCCATCGCCCATTCGTGCTCCACGATGGTGTATTATACTGCCAAAGTTTTGAGCTGGATGGACCGGCCCTGCAGCTTGTCATTCCGAAAAACCTTCGCTCGGAAGTTCTACATGAACTTCATGACCTTCTGACTGCTGATCACCTTGGTGTATCACGCACTTGTGACCGAATACGCCGACGCTTCTTTTGGCCAGGGCTTGCGCGCTCAGTCAGAAGATACGTTGCGGCTTGTGAGAGATGCCAGCGCCACAAAACAACATCGACACTTCCCGCCGGATGCCTTCAACCACTTGACATTCCGTCAGAACCGTTCTTTCTCGTTGGCTTGGACCTACTTGGCTCTTTCCCCTTGTATTCTTCGTGTAACAAGTGAAT